CGCTGCGTGAGCCATAACCATGTCATGGCCTCTGCATCCTTGTGTGGACATACCCTCACATTCTTGCGAAAGGTTTCATGGCTTCAGATGCAGTTGAACACGCTAAAATCTAAAATTGCTTCATTCGACATGCGACATAGTGATGCAGCCATATCAAAAATTGATTGATATCATTAGCATAAGGAGTTCAGAACACTTGCTAATAATCGCACTTGTTACCCTTGGCGGTAACGACAGCGAGGCATCGCTTTGGCATCGATTTGATGAGTTCTTGTGGTAGTCCATGGGAATGCTCTCCCATGCACGCTTGATGGCCGCCATGAAGTCTTGAACATTCACATATTGCTTGCGATTGGGGTAAACTTGACGGACCAAATACCCCCAAAGGTTTTCAATGGGATTAAGGTCTGGGGACAGGGCAGGGTGCTTGAAAATCGTGACATTTTCGTCGTAAAAAAAACGTCATTGTGGCCTTCGAACGGTGAATAGATGCATTGTCTTGCATGAAAGCAAAATCTGGACCATAATGCTCATGAGCAAATGGAAACAGATAGTTGCAGAGCGTATCGATGTACTTGTCGGAGTTCTGCTTGCTATCCAGGAAGGCCAACTCCGCCAAACCAGCACCTGAAAACGCGTCCCAAACCATGACACCGCCACCCTTGCTTGCGCGAGAGAAGTATGAGGCGGGTTCCTTGCGAAGATCTTCCCAGTAGTATTGAAGTCCATTTGGTCCGTCGAGATTGAATTTCTTCTCGTCTGACCAGATAACATCAGTCCAACTGGGTGGATCTTCCAAGTGACCCACCGCGTACTTCAACCGCGCAGTCTTGTGGGCTTCCTTGAGAAAAGGCGTGTGCTTGCGTTTCTTCTACTTGAGATCCCCGCATGCCTTGAGTCTGCGCTGACAAGTTCTTATTGAGCCCTTGAGCTGGAGGGCCGAGTGAAGTGCCCGAGCGGACGTTCCAGTTGACGCCGCCTCTCGATAGAGGCGACGGCACTCTTGTTAGACTATCAACTTCATTTTGCGGCCTTTGTGCTTCTTGCCGTAGGTGTCTGGGGTCATCAGGTATGCTCGTACGGTGTCCTTGGAGCGTCCAAGTGTCGTACCAATTGCGCGGTACGTACGACATTCCGTTGCTTCGGAAGATTCGAGCCGCAACTTTCTCTTTTCTCTTCGATGGAAAGTGGGGGTGCACTTCCCATTCTGTCAGTGTCAACTAGTACGGCATGAGTAGCATCATCAATTCCAATGACTTACGGGGTTGTTTGTGTTCGAAAGTGCGGTAAAGAGAGCAAAATGCGTTATGACCTACAAATCTATGTCGCAGCATGAAATGTGCTTTCCCGCCATATCGCAATCAAATTTTGCGCTATCAAGGTCGTCACTACTTCAAAAATCCCGCCAATCAGTGCTTAATTTTCGCAAGAAACAGCCATTTGCGAAGCTTCATTGGCGGAGTTTTTCTGCAAATATACTAGGTGTCTGCAATCATTTGGCGCGCACTGTAAACTAAATACTCTCTATGAATTAAATATATATATATATCCCTCCAGGAATATTTGAAAAGATCAAAAGTACAGCAATGTACTTTTGATCTCCATTACTTCAAAATGAAACAGCGGATGACACTGGCGGACAAGAGCGACTTGTTCGCGCAGCACATGCAAAACCCACAAGCGACATACAATGACTTGGCAAAGTGGGCAGCGCAAACGTTCGCACTCACAACAGCTCCAACAAAATCTGCCATTATAATGGCCCTTAAACGCGGTGCAACACAAGCACAACGCGCCGACAACAAGGCGCGGTACATTGATCGTGCAGTTAAGTCTCCTGAGCTCGAAACCGAACTTCACCAATGGGTCCTACGCTGTGAGGAACTTGGCGTATCCCTTACGGGAGAGCTCACATGAGAACAAGCAACGGTGTACCTGCAGCCTCAGGTTGCGGGCATTATTGCCTCGTTCAAGGCGAAAGTCAAGAAGAGGCAACTGAACAACGCATTGGACCAGATTGACTCGGTGATGGCAGGGCGCCAATACAGAATCTACGAAGTACCGTTAGTTGTAGTGATGGAGTGGGCGCAGGATGCATGGCGCTCTGTGTCATCATCGACAGTTGCGAACTGTTGGCAACGTACAGGAATCCGGACTGTTACTTGTCAGCGTTCAGCGTTCGATGGCTGCAGTTCATATGAATTGATGTGGCAAGAAGATATACTGTTAAAACGAATAACCTTTTGAGTTGATGTACTGTGAATAATTTAAATCTTTTGCCGTGTCCAAGTCGGGGGGAAATCAGTATATGCACATTTTGAAATCATGCACTGCATGTCCGGTAAAATTTGGGCCGAGTTTTCGGTTCGGAGAAGGTATCCTGCGAAGGAAAATCATCCAAGAGCAAGGTCTGCACTACAATACAGCCCGTGTGCTTGAATTTGCGCCAACATATACAAAGATGGTTGAACTGACCCGACTGCAGCCATCGGATAGGTGCACGCGGTGATTTGAATTTTCGACATGTCAAAGGGCCTATTTAAAATCGAAACAAATCGCTGTGAAAAAGTAGCCAATCAAAAGGCACGGACCAGGAAGCATTTTAAATTTTTAATGGATTCGACAACTCAAGAATGATCGATTTTTGATATATTGCAAATTTTTGAGCAATTGTTTTCGGATGTTTAATTGGTCCGTTTTTGGCTTTGGCCATATTCCCACCATATTATTCAACGACCATGATGCAACAGGACGAAGACCCGTCGACTCTGTGCGATGTGTTCGAGCAGGTGAGTCGCCATGGCGCTCTTGCCGTCAATATGCTCATGCCCGATATGTGCAGATGCTCCAGGTGAACGAAGACCTCCTTGCCGCGGCTGCAGAGCAGCAACAGTGGAGCGACTCGCCGCAGCCTGGCGACGAATGTTTGCAGAATGCAACGGCGTACCAGCTTTTGCTCCACAAGAACCTGCTTGAAATGGCCAACTTTGTCGATTCGTTATGCGGTGTCTATGTCAGTGTGGTATGGACCGTCCATTCCCTCCATTCCTTCAACATTTCCGCAGGATCACGGATCCTCGTCGAGCACAGACCCTCCGTGTTCGAAGAAGCCTCGTACCAGCGACAGCGACGAGGTATGTCCATGGAAATGCGACTCTCATCTGCAGTTCCATCACGACAACGTCGTCAATTTACGTACCAGGCACCCCACGGCACCATGGAACCGAGCCTCCTCCTGTCCACATTACATGCGAACGAGAGCTTGCGAGCACGGCGTCGCACGGAAAAAAAGTTTTTGTCGTTTCAGAAAAAGGTCAAAGAACAAGAAGACTATGTAAGCGCTTCGTCCACATCTCGATCTCACTGGAAGACAGGACAAGCTTCCACTCCCGCTATTACACCCTTCGCTGCCTGGACAGCAGCCCCCCAACTTGGTGACACCATCGCCTTCCCCAGCGTTCGCGCCGCCTCCGATGCTTCAACCGCCACCCCATCCATCCATATTGAAAGTTTCTCACACGATGTTGCGGCCGTGCCAGTTGCCCCTGCCTCCAACAGTCCCGACGCCGGCGCCATTGCTCACGGTCCCTTCCGTTCCCATGCACGCGTTCGCCACCAACGTATCCATGGATCCGCTTGTGCAATTGCCGGTCAAAACTCCCCGGCTTGTTGTTGCGAAAGAAGAGTGCCTGGCATGCCATCGACTCGGTACTGTCGTGTGTTTTCATTTGCTTGTTGATGCAAGCCGACTTCTGCGTGTGGGAGATTGAATTGGATTCATTCCATTTGAATTGAGGATGCAAGAAGGGATCGCTGTTGTAATGTCGGTAGTCCTTGTCTCAGTTGAATTCGACATCGTGTCCTCGATCGAGGTACGATTTGGCCAGCGACTTGCCTGGCGACTTGGCCAGCTGCCCAAATTGCTGTGCACGTGCATGAGTCGTGTGGCGTTGTGTGAAACCAGCGACAGCGCACGTATTCGTTCGTGCGAAGACGAATCGAACAGTCGATGACTCGTGGATGGAGTTGATTTGGTTGTCTGTTGTAGGGAAAAGCGTCAAGATTTGCCGTGCCGTTTGGAAACACACCACGCCGTCGTGGAAGTCGTTGATGCTTCCGTTGCCGTCGATGCTGGCACCGACCTCCATGTTGATGGGCGACGGGTTGCTCTTGCCGCACGCGTCGATGGGGTGGCCAACACCATACTTGCGTACGAACCTCTCGCATAGACCTCGTGGATGCGGTGGTCGGTTGAAAGGAAGGCTCGAGAACTGATCGGTCGACGTCTTTGTAGCGGCGTTTTCGATGCCAACTGGGAAAGCGCCAACGTCCGCGGCTCGCCGTACTTTCAAACGTGTGTGCGATGTTTGATTGAACGAACCGAGATGACGAGGCCAATGTGTTGATGCATTTGTTGGACAGGAATGTGCGAACAATGCAAGTTAGACCATCAGAGTTTGTACCAGTGCCGCACGGTGCTCCGACACGACGACCCAGAGTGGAAGCGAACCGAACGCCCTCCAGGAGTAAGTCCATTCGATTCATCGGAATCGGCACGTCTCGAACAGCGGTCATCCATGCGGTGGTAGGAGCCAGGAACGTCTCAGAGATCGTACTCGCGATGGACAGATGCGGAAATGCAAAAGTTCCACGAGTTGGTCGAAGTCCATGGCTATCGCGGTACGACGCGTGCACGACAGATATTCGCATCTGATGGACCGATCTAGACGTAACGAAGCTCGCGTATTGCCTTCAGTCAAAGGACAAGAAGCAAGTAAAGAGTTATCTCCAGGTACCGTCACCGTACCACGAGCGAGGTCGTTCACGGGCGTTTGTCAGAGATATCTGAAGGCGAAACATGATGGCGACGGATGATCTCGCGCCTTCGTGGTCTGCGTGGGTGTGCCCCACGAACAGGACATACTTGAACACTGCGCCAGCCTCGTCCCGACTCATGAGTCGTTCGCTCTTGTCGTCGCAGTATTTATTCCGAGCCTTCTCAGCGGCTCTGTGCACGATCAATTTTGATTTTCGTCAACTGGATGGACCTTGTTTGAGTCGACGCACTTCCGCTCTTTCGACACCGTTTTCCAAGGCATGTGCAGACCACGACGGGTGTCCATACCGGCTCACGGAATGCCATGGCTCCAGAGAAAAGAGCACGCACATGCGCCAGCAGTGGCGAGCTCAATCGGGCCATGCGACTCACTTACCTATCCATAATTGAGGGACAGGTCTGTGGACGAGGATGGCCCTGCATGTATATCCTCTCGAGCCCGTCTCCACGTGTATGGCCAGAACTTGCTTCGAGCTACACCGTATTGTTTATGACCACCAAGTAAGGGTCTCGCGCGCTAGACCAGAGGACGGTTGCCCCTGAAATGAGCCTTCCGTCGCACTGCAGCCTCCATGCTTTCCATCCCTCTCGTTGGAGCAGCTTACAAGACGAAGCGCGACACTGCTTTCGACACTGCGGACGACAGGTCTGCTTTCCAGCCAGCACGTGCCACTCCCCCAGAGAGCTTGCATCCTGGCAAGGTCTGGCAGTCGCTGTAGTAGTCGCTTGGGTTGCCCCGACTGGTCGCTCCAATCCCGCTCCGAAAGTAGTGGATGTTGTATTATAGACCGATGCAGGCGGAGCAGATTCGTCCGCCGACCTGCACCTTGGTACCACCGCGGAATCGCAAGTAGCAAATTCCAATGAACTTCTCGAACACTTGGCAATCGCCACAGTAATCGCGGGCTGTGGTGGTCAGATCCTGGTCTTGGACATCGATGCCTTCAATGGACTGGCACCCCGCGTGGCGCCATTCTGCCCACACCTGCTATCAACATCGGCCTTTCGTGCTAATACTTCAGCAGTCAGCAACACTCGGTCGGCCGCCGGACGAAAAGTCGTTGCCGGCGACATCCGTGTTTTCCTCGATGCGGCTGCACATGACCATGACCTTCGGGTACGCGATGCGCGAGGCCATCGCGCACGCCCCACCACCAACCGTTGCGCAGCTGCATGTACCCCCCTCTCGCCCCAATACTTTCCTCACGAGTTTCTGACCCTGAATGGCCCGTCGACGTACCCGACGGCAGCGACGGCGTAGTCGACCAGACCCGGCCACACGGACAAAACGCCGCGCTTGTACGTTTGCGACACAGGTGTGCCCGACTCGACCAACTGATCGGAGGCGGGCTGGTTGTTGAGGACGCTGGCAAGCGTCCCTTCGCCTGACGTGAGAATCGCCTGCCCGACTGCCAACGCTGCTTCGTACACGGATCGTCGCTGGCCCCACTCATGTGGACTTGTCTAGCCACGAAGCGCTTGCCAAACGCAGACTCGCAAAGGTCGCGTACGATTTGATACGTACCCAGTGGCTGTGGCGGCAGGTAGTCGTCGGATGGGTCGATGGGACCGAGTGTTTCAGCAACTGGCGGACCATCGCACTGCAATGCGCAGACTCGACGATGGCTGCAGGAGAAGGTGCCGACACCGCCATGGTGCGGTCATCGTCGCGTCATCCGCTCCAGTTTCCATCGATGGCTCGCGAAGCATGGACGAATCGAGCGACCTCGCCAACTCGTTGTTGCCGCACGAACTCCTTGCCGCATTGTCGTGGTCAAACCAAGACTGCCACAGTGATCGAAACTCCCGCTCGTGGAGCAAGACAAGCTAGTCGTCGAAAACGGCGTCTGGGTTGCAAAGC